ATTTTAATGAAAACAGTAAGAAATTGCAAACCTCGGCACTGATTCTTGTGTGTAGCTTTACAGCTAATCGTTTCTTAATAACAAAGATATAAACAAACTAGGCAGGCCTTGGCTTCCTCGGAAGCTCTTCTCAATGCTTCTAGCTAGAAGAAACCTCACCCCACTACCCGTGACCTTGCCTGTTAAAATATTGTGTCTCCCCTTGGTTGCATCTAATGTGTTTCCACTTCAGAGTCTCCTCCCTGGACTACCATGAACTTTGGTAGGGAGTTAACCCAGAACACATAGTTTTTTGGCTTAGTCCCAGGAGCCGACTGTGACAGAGTGCAGCAAAGTTCTTTCCATGATGGATGGCAGACTGATAGACTTGTCACGCAGCTTTTGTAGATGTAAGCCCCAAAGCCTGAGATGCAGCGTACTGCAGTTGGCAAGTCAAACAACTTATCTACATGAGTGTTTTCTGCTAGTGTACACACAAAGTTCACGGTTGGACTCCAGCCCCCACTGTCTGTGAATCACACTGGTGTGATTTTGGGGAAGAAGGAAGAGGAAGAGCATCCTGTAAATCAGCTGGTGTAGAAAGCACTTATTGCCAACTGTATAGGAACAGGCAGTGACTCTTCCTGAGCACAGCAACCTGTGGGTGGACTAAGACTGGGTATAACCTATGTCTGCTGTTAGAATATTGAAAACAAAATAATAGAAAAAGTTTCACAATTCCCACTCCCACAGAACCTGAGGGCCGGATGAAATAGAAATGTACTAGTTTCATTTTTGTCTCTTGGATGCAGTGCCTTTCGCTCCCAAGTGATGAGCGCTACATATTTCTGAACTCCTCTGAATTCCACCAGAGTTCAAAGGTAGTTGGAGTAGGGATTTTTGCTGATGCCTACCTCTACAGGCCATTTCTGGTTTAGAACAGCATCACAAGGTCAGAAACAGCCACTGAAAGATGATTTGTAGAGTGAAATAAAATCTAGCAATCAAAAAAAAAAAACAAACGGAGCAGTAAATTTGTGATGTGGAGTATCCTCTCCTGTTCAACTTGTGGTTAAATACACTGAGAAGTTGAATGCAAATGTTTTTCAGAAAGTCAATATGCACTTTTTCTTTTCTTTTTTTTTTTTTGTTTTCAAGGGAGCGGAATAAGATTTATGTTGACGTTTGCAAAAATAGACCTGGGAACGATCGCTTTGTAGAAAAAATGATGCAAACCATTAACGGAGCTGCAAAGAACAAGGAAGTGCAATGTGACAAAATCATCATGGAAGATAAAGGTAAACCCTCAGAGTACCATAGAAGAAAGGGTATTTAATAAGAACGGACTCTCATTTACTACTACATTGTACCCTTGGTAGTTGGGTTTATTATTACATTTAGTTTACTTATTAAATGTTTATTTGGGAAAACTCTAGCATACAGCTAGATTGTGGAACCTCAGAACACACAGGTAGGATACTGAGGAAAGGTTTTTTTTCTTTCGTCTCTAAGCAGGAGAAGATGTTTCCTCAACTTTTACTTCCAGAGCTTTAACTTCAGAGAGGCCAGTGTGATTTGCAGTGGCCTTTTCTGCCCCTCCTAATAGCTGAACGTTGGTACTGGTACGCTCTATCCATTGCAATAAAACAGTCATGACGCTGGCTGAGAGCTGCTGTGTCCTGCCTGCCTCAGCACTTCACAAGCAGAGAGTCCTTCACCTAATACTCAGCTGTGCTCTTGAAATATGAAAGGAGACACTTCCCTTTTTTGCCCTTAACTTCACAGTGACGCTGGTTTCTATTTCTATTTGCCGTAATGCAAAGAAGAGAACTTCTGTTATGAGATTTAAAATCTTGGGGAAAGCAGAAAATCTCAGCAGTCTCACAAGATAGATGCAACTTTACAAAATGTTCAACCTCAGTGCTCAAAAGAAAAAATTACAGAGGAATATCAAGGTTTTAGATGTGCATGCTCATCTTTGCCTCACCATGGACATTTTTTTTTGTGTAGGAGGCCAAAGAAAACTACAAGGAATGCTGTTCCAAACATTTTTCCTTTGTGTTCGTTAGTGTATGTAAAATGAGTGAAAAAACCACATGTCAAAAGGAGAAGTAAAATAGATATTAATCTGATTTGAAAACATCTTCCCCTTTTTTGTGTGCCTTGAGCATCAGCAGGGCTCATTCCAACCCATGTTTGAAAAGCTGAGCTCACAAAGGAGCCTTGTTTCACTGGGAGCTGAAGGGAAGCCACACACCCAGAAGACCCTGATGCAGCCGCTGCAGTCACACAACAGCTGTTGCTACAGCCTTGTCTGACCCTCGGTTGGTTTCAAAGCCCCTCTGCCAAAGAGTTGGGAGCGTAGCGTAGCATAAAAAGTAAATCTTTGCTCAGCTGTACGTAGTGCTTTATAACAACGTACCAAAACAAGAGACTTGTATAATAGCGTGTCATTCATTTCTAGGGATGACGGCCACTTCCTGGGACTTGTACGATTCATTTAACGTATTGGAAACAAAACCTATGTCAAAAGCAGAAGGTAGCAGAGCCACAACTGGGAAAAGCAGCAAACCCCAAACAGCTACAGAGCACGATGAGACTACGTCTGTCTCTTCTGACAGAGGTAACATTTTTCCAGGTTTACATCTCTGCCGTGTTTTCACCCTTCTAAACCGTGCATATCACTGTCTTGTGTGGTGAAAACTCCATGAAGAAAGTGCTTTCAAGTGCCTGCCTGGCACTTGAAAGAGAGTTTGCTAAAGAATCTCGGATAGGTCTGCACCGAGACCTTTTCTGTACAATACCATTATAAATGGTCTGAAATAAAGATAAATAGTCAGTGGCAAAGTCTGCTGGTACTAACTTACTTAAGACAGGAGAAGCAAAACCACAATTGTGAAAAACTCCAGAAGTATCTCATCATGCTGAGTATTTAAGCAAGAAAAGAAAATAAAATAAAGGAAGAAAAAATTAACAGCAGAAGTATTTTTTGATGATAATGGATTCTTCTATGCTTTTTGCAGGTGGAGGAGGAGGAGACTTGTTATCCCCTTAACTTCTGTGTGCAAAGTATTACCATGTTAAAACTGTTTTTTCCCATATTATCTGTTGTCAGGCAGCACAACTTCTTCTATCACGATTTCCGAAAATGCTGTTCTTGCCAGAATCCATGAAGAGGAAGAATGCCATTCAGAAGCTATATTAACATCAG